AACATGAAAATGCAGTATATACTCAAGTATAAGCCGACCGAATATAAGCCAAGGAACCTAATTTTATCACAAAAAACCTGGGAAAACTTTTTTTTGGGAAATGCAGCAGCTACTGGTAAATTTCAAAATAAAAATAAGTACCAATAAAATTACATTAATCAAGGCATCAGTAGGTTAAATTTTGAATATTTACATAAAATTGTAATTTAAGATAAAACGGTCCAACTCTTATTAAATCATTATTCTAACCTTCTTCAATGTAAATGTGCTTACATATCCTTAGTTTATTTTAACTATACATTTTGGAGAAAATGCTGTGTGTATATGAATAAGGAAAAGTGGGAAAGACTGGCGCCGAGAGAGGAGGAGAGGAAGGCATGCACTTCTCCAAGAGGAAGGCGCACGCTGCACTGAGAGAGAAGGCGAAGAAGGAGAGCTGGGTTGCTGTATGGATAGGTGGGGGTCCTGGCAGGAAAGCGTGGGGCTGAAAGAAGCCCTTCTTTCAGCCCCATGCATTTCTGCCAGGACTCTCACCCATGTATAAGCCAAGGGGAGCTTTTTCAGCCTTAAAAAAGGCCTGAAAAACTAGGCTTATACTCGAGTATATACAGTAATCTGCGGACCCCTACCTGCTAAGTAGTTTATACATGTGGTGAAAGACTGATTTTCTTAATGTTATGCAATATTCCTAGCCAATAATAAATCCAGGCTATATTAACCTTAAGTTTAGGAAGTGTGCTGGTTGTACTTCCAGTACCCCAACTGTTGTTGTTCTGTGTCTCCAAGTCATTTCCCGTTTATGACAACCTTAAGTAAGCCTTTCATAAGGTTTTCTTGGAAAGAAGTCTGAGAAAATGTGACTTGGACAAGGTCACCAAGTAGGTTTCCAGGACCAACCTGGTTTTCACCTATTTGCTCCAAATTTACACCTAATAGCTCAGTACAGAGATCTGGGATGGAGAACGTTAAGTAGTTGAGTACATTTAAAAATAACATCAGAGCATAAAAGAAGATCAATATGGCACATACATACATCTGGTCACTAAAAGTCTCAGTCATAAACTGAATCAAATTTCCCACAGGGAAACAGGCCTGTAGAATCAAATATACAACTTAATTTAGGGAAAAATACTTTATGTTTCTACCCTGATAGCCTAGAACCTTGTCCATTCTAATATAATCTGCCAAGATTATCAAGTCACTACTGCAGAGCACCCACGCTGACAAAATTCCATAAAGGTAATAAGTCAAAACATCTTGGCTTCAGTTGTTCATGTAGAGTCTCTTGGAAAGTTCTTGCTATATAACCAACTTCCCAGGGCATATCTACATGGACACGATAAAGGGAGAGCTGGACAGGAATTGGCCCCATGATGTCCACATGGATCTTTATTACCCCAAATGTAGGGCAAGGTGCTTAGCAGCTCCACACTTCTAAATAATTGCACTGGTTCTCAACCAGAATTGGCCCTCCTGTTTACATGGCCATCCCATTTTCCCTGGGTACTGTACCACAGAGGCAGGGGGCGGCACCTCCGGGTGCTGCATTCTGTAGCAGCTGAGTTTTTTTTGTTTGTTTTTTTTTGCCCATTTAGATGCAATCCCAGTCTCTTGCCAACTGAAAATTTAAATCCACAGTAAAGGTAGAGATCCCTTCATTTCAGCTACAAAGCCATTGTACTATTTTTGCTTAATTAATTGATTTGTGTGAGAGAGCCTCACACAGATATACTGTGAACTCTTGTTCAGTTTCAACACTTTGGATAGCTCCTTTAAAGATCACACTAAGCTTTAAAGTAGATTTCATGCCCAAAATAAATGGAAGCGAGCACTTGTTGGTGTGACCATTATTATTACTAAAACTATATTTTTATTTATAGTCTGCTTTCTAACAAAATGTGACTGAAATGCATTACAATACTAAAAATCACACTGTAATGATGGCTGAGAGAAATTCACACATGAAACAATTGCTAGCCATATGGAAATGAAAGCCAGTCCATTGTTAAATACTTACCAAGATGATGGTTCATGCATAAAACATCAACAGTGAATGGACACAATTCTGCAGGATGCCCTAGGCCATTTCCAAGATTTGTGAAACAACCTCCTTATGAGTAGTTTATTTCCCATTTTAAATTTCTTTTGTACCACCCATGTGTGTACACAATTAGTTTTTTCCAAAAGTCCATATACCACTGTTTTGCAAATCACTAAAAATTAATTTATTCATAGGCATCTGCAAGCATAAAACCTGTTTTATTCCTAATCTTCCAAAAAGACTAGTTTTTCAAAATTAGACTTACTCTGTATTGTGTCATTTTAAGAAGGGGGTGCAACACATGCTTTGCCTGTTGAGCAAGTGTTGTAATGAATAGCATAATTATCTGGGGCATCTACACTTAAATATGTAAAGTAACTGGTGAGAAGTCAAATGTCTAAAATAAGTTACAGAATGAAAAAGTCCTATTTATGTGTTTGCTTTCTCATATCCAATGAGATTTGCTTAGGAAGTGAATTGTTGAGAACGAATTCAATAAAAAACTGAACTAATCAGATTCTGATTAGGATCCATTGGAAAGAATTAGTGTTTAACTGACAAGGCATACAATGGCAATAAATAATCAAATGCTAATGCTGGCTGGGCCAAATCCACCAGGCACAGCTACAAATATTCTGTTTCTCTCAATGGAATGAACATCTCATTGAAATGAATAACACCACCTGCCCCATCATATTCAGTCCTTAGACATCGGCTCAAGATACTTGTTATTTCAGCATACTTTTTACAGAGGCAGTAACTGACTGAGGCTTTATCATTACTTGTCTCTTTGATTTTTTCCCCCTTTTCCTTTTTCAGTTTCATTGTTTGGTGTATACTGATGGTGTGTTTCTGATAGAAGTATGTCTTTGGTATCCACCTCTTATATTTATGAATGTATTGTTACCTGAACCATTGAAGGAAATAAAATCTAGAAAAAAAACTAGATTAGTACTGGTGAATGATGAAAATTTACTTGAATTTTCAGAAATAACAATATAGTTTTACTATGTAAAATAGAACAGATTTGGTTACCACAAGTACAAACTCTTTTGTTTGCAAAAGAGTTATTATTCTCACCTAATAAAAGAAATAGCCTAAGACTAGTGCTCAGTTCTGACTGACCTTGAAACATAATTGGCAAGCGTACATGTCTCTATGGTATATGCCACTGGGTAGATAAAAAGTATATGGGATTATAATCAAAACCGATAAAGCTGCAAAATTAATCAACAGTGTTTTAAACCTATGTGATGAAAATAACAGAATGCTTAATGTTGCCTAATTATTAATATATGTTGCATGACTTCCAGACCAACGTGTATAATGTGTAACTGTCAACTATTTTCTTTGAAGGCTTTGTAAAAATACCATTTTAATTGTGGATTTATTTTTAAATATTATCTAAAATCATTGAAAAGCCCTTAGTATGTTTTTTTAATGTACTTCATGTTATCCAGAAGTGAAAGCATTTATTACTTTCTTTTTCAGATAGGAGTGAAGATGTAGTATACCCATTTGTATACAACTGTGCATTGTATACATATCATATGCACCTCTTAGTGGGATTCATGTACACCACATACAGACTATAACGTTTTACCAAAATTACTGTAAGACATAGTTACCACTGCAATAGGTAACAGTGTCCCCAGAATTCCACCGTTTACCATTTTCAGTTCCGATTGGATGGCCCCCCACAAGGGTCTGCCTCCAGGGGCAAACCAAGAATGGACAACTTGGAAATCCTTGAACAGACTCAGAAGCTGTGTTGCCAGACCAAAAGACAAACTGGCAAAATGGCACGACCTAAAATAATCCTCCACCTTGTGCGACTGTGGAGCAGAGCAAACAACTCAGCATCTGTATGCTTGCCCACAATGCTCTGCCTCACACCCAGAGGAAGAATTGTTTAAAACTACAGACAACGCAGTCACTGTGGCCCGTTTTTGGTCTAAAACTATCTAGAAGTTTGTGATCCCTTTATTTTTTATCAGTTTTAGATAATTATTTTATGCAAAGCTTTTGACATGAAATAAGTGAAAATTTTCAGTTTTTTCTACAGTCAGAAAAACCCTATTGGTACAAAAGAGTTCAATTTGACTGGAGTGATAAAATGCATAGAAGTGTTGACTTACCACTTAGTAACTGAGTTAATACGTCTGCTTTCATAGGTCATATAAGTTGGATCCAATATTGGGTGGAAAACAGCACACAGATCAAATTAATTAGTATATGATTTAGGCCAAACTATTCTATCTATCTATCTATCTATCTATCTATCTATCTATCTATCTATCTATCATTCTATCTATCTAGACTAGACCATGTTATGTACTGGAACAAAAAAATGGTCCATATAATTATTCAGCAAAATATTGATTGGGTCTACCCACCAAAATTAAAATGGGCTTCATTAATACATACAAAACTATCCTGTTAGTAGATGATGATAGGAAATGATTGTTTTTATAACCTCATATCCACATTTGAATCCTACAGGTGAGAGCTGGATTTTGCAAGGACCAGAAAATACCCCACAATATACAGAATATTTGTTTTATCTTTTTTATCTAACGTTTCTTCTATTCCAAGGACTTTCCCCCCCTGCTTTGTCTGTTTGAGCAAAATACTCTTTATTGCACATGCATAAACTCTCCTTTGGACACGAGGCATGTTTATGCACTACAACTGGGTCAGAAAAAAAAAACATAATTCAAAGTTTGTTTATCTGAGTGCATCTTAAAGCCGGAGAAGATACGGCTGTGTATGTTGATAAAATACATCAAAGTGTGCCAGAATGCTCTCTAAAGTGGCTTCAGGGTATTTCCCGGCCTGTGACCATGTTCACATTAGTGACCTTAATGTGTTCAAACAGAAGGTGTTCTAAAGACGGCAAAGCTGAAATCTCGTACTGAGGCAAGGATAGCATCTTTGAGAAGAAACACTGTGCTCCTACCTTTACAGCTTCACTTAAGGTATGGTTTTTGTCTGCTTCTTCACAGGAATGTAATTCCAGTTTATACTGCAACTCCTGTAGTTGTTGTGCCTGTTCATTCAAGAGCATTTGGGCCTGCTGCTCCCGAAGTAATGCATTATTTAACTCCTCACATGCACTTTCAAACCTCTCGTGGGTGATCAATTTCTGATAAAGGAAATAAATTGTGTTCTGTCATGAAAGAGCAGCATTGTTTATACACTTGACTTTCAGCATCCCACTTGCCTGTATGCAACATAGTAATGCAAAAGTTTTAAAACACTCAATACCTCTACCCTAGAGGCAGTCTTTCCCAACTCAGGACCATTATACAATGCTAATGCCAGGTGATCTTTATTCGCCGGGTCTTTTTTTTTTCTCCCAACGAAAATATAGAGGAATATAAATGTGAACTAAAGAAGGCTCTTCTTGCATATTACTCCTGTTAATGCCTGAAATCAAACAAATGAATTACTTTTTACCAAATACAATTAATTTGAATACAGGTATTCCTTATTTGGTTTCTTACAGTATGTACAATATTTTAGAAAAATGAGTCAGAAACCTAGTAAAATTAAGCACTGATCTATGTCCACTCTTGCCAATTTAAATATTGCAAAAGACAATCTAATAAATCAAAACAGATAATAAATCAAAACAAGGTGTACACTTGTTTGGCTAATTAAAACAGCAAATCCAGGAAGTAGAACTAATGTTTAAGTTGGAACAGGATTCAAGCTTGGAGACGAAATTATAAAACAGTCATTTCCTATCACCATCTACTGGCAGGTTGGCTTTCTACACCTGTCTGTACCAACTATAGACAAACATTAATAGAAAAGGTATTAGAAATGCACATTTATAGGAAAATCTGTCATGAAATATATTGAGAGAGAGTAACTAATATTCTCAACGCATTTCATTTTTGTTTTTCTTCTTTCTGTTGAAATTATTTCTAAAGTATGAGAGGAATTGTCATTTTCCTAGACTGAGGGGCGGAAGGAATCCCACAGTTCCAGGAAGCCTGCAGACCTCACACGAAAATGCCCCCGAGGGCTTTTATACTCATTACAAAAAGTCTATCTAGGAAAGACGTCCACACATACAATTAATAGGCCAACCTGAGAACTGGGATAGCAAATGCAAGTGTGTCTTCTGGGAATTCCTGAACGACTGGATTTCCCACAGTAAGTGCAGCATCTTTTGCTCAGCAGCCTCCTCCACCCCAAAACAAAAATTACCAAACTCAAGAAGCCCTCCGCCTCTGTTAGCCTCACAGACAAGAGTTGTCCTGCATGTAGGTATTTTGCAATGTGTAAAATAGCCCCTGTATTCTTCGAGGATATGTCAGCAGTTGGCAATGATATGAGCCATATAAAAGCAAAGTGGGAGTACATAAAACATATTTGTCTGGGTGATGTTAGCATACAATTTGAGTTTTCAAACTCAAATACTCTAGCTGCATGAATAGAATTATTTTGGATACCGCAGTTGGGGAGATCGGCTTTGTTGAAGATGAGACTTGATTATTTACTCAACCTATCTTATTCCGAGACATAAAGAATCCTATGGAAAGAGGCATTTGTTCCTCCCCTTTTAATATACCTGATTCACAGCTGGGACATATTTATGAGACATAGGGTTTGTGAGGAGAGAGAATGTAAGGGTAGGCTGGTTGTATTATTTGGTTTTCTAAGGAATAGTGAAGCAAAAAGGAGTAAAAGGAAGTCTCTCCTTCAGAACCTGCTTGTTCCTCCCTCCCAATCCTTCCAAATCAAATATACTTACAGATTGCTTAAACACATTTAATTGCTCTTGCAGGCTCTGGGCTTTGTCAGCCTCTTTCTTCATCTCATTCAAATTCCGTTTGAATTCTGTGAGCTCTAAGCGCAGTGACCGCCGCTCCACTTCTGCTGTATGCAGCCTTTGTGTAAATTCAAATATTTGCTTCTGCAAGGATGCTATGCTTTTCTGGTAGTAAAAAAACGGAAACAATGTTGTTTAGCTGTAGAAAGTGCTGAGTAGGCAGTAAATCAACAGCATTTAATGCCTGGGCAAATGAAAACGAAGCCTCCTTTCTGAGTTTACATACCAAACTGAAGTGTACTACTCTTACTAAAAAATAAACACATATTAGAGGGATATTTTTTGGACATTGAACTTGAAAGGAAATGATATTGAAGAAACATTTAGCCCTTTGGGGGACAGAGACAGAACATATTTTGTAACAATACTCAGACTAAGTATGTAGACAATTCCTGCATTTTAACATAATTAGTATGAATTGCACTTGCAGTAGTATTTCGAAACAAGATTGAACATTGCCTTGAATACAACACAAGGCTGGAAGTGATCTAAGAAAATTAATTTGAAATACAAGTATTAGAAGTATTATCCATAGCAGGTTTGGTTTAAATAATACTACAATTTCCTTGCAATTCTCCAGTTTCACTGTAAAGACTGAAAAACGTGATGGCTACTACAAAAATATAAAAAAATATTATTTCTGAGCTCGAGCAATGGGTGTTGTGTGCCTTCATACAAACCGTAACAGGGCCTCTGTCGCTCAAGCCTGCTTTAAGAGCCTGTGCATTTATTTTATGAAGCCCACGAGCCAACTTCTGAACCAAGGAGTCTTTCTCTGCGTAGGTAATACTTCGGCTGCTACCTGCTGGAGCAACTTCCATCACAAGACAAAGCTTGTCCATGAATTTTGAAAAAGAATTTCTTGCTGCGCTGGTGAGTAAATGTCCTGAAAGCCAGGAATTCAGATCTATAAAAGGAACAGAAATAACATCCATGAGTGGGGTGAGGCTAAGTTTAGGTTTTGTGAATATAAAAAGGCTGGAAATATGTCATACAAAAAGCAGCGAAAGAAAGCGCTCCAGACATTTACCATATGCAATACCTTCCCATCCAAACATGGAAATAAAGTTCCAATCCCAACCATACCAGACTGGATACATTTGAACACTTACTTCTAGGAACACGATGACAATGGATGAATTTTAAAGCAATTCTCAAAATGGATCTTTTGAAAACGGTTTGCAGAAAACACTGTATAAGCTTGCTGAACCCATACTACTTTCAGTACTTATAATTGGGAATTGGTACTAATAATAGATTTGCATCCATGCACTTTTTCAGTGTACAAAGGGCTACTGGAACTTTGCACCTGAACCAGTGATAGGTGCCACATGCTTTAAACAGGAGCATAATCTGCCAAATCCTGGCACCATTTACCTTGGTAGAAATCCCTATGCAATGGGACAATTTTGCCAGCAGAAAGAGAAGCCCTGTCAAGTCTGTATATGCCAACACTTAATTCTACTAGGAGCCCCTGATTGTGCAATTGGTTAAACCTTTGTTCCGGCTGAACTGCTGATCGAAAGGTCAGTGGTTTGAATACCGGGAGCAGGGTGAGTTCCTATCGTCAGCCTAGCTCCCCATGTAGGGACATGAGAGAAGCCTCCCACAGGATGGTAAAACATCAAACATACGGGCATCCCCTAAACAATGTCCTTGCAGATGGGCAATTCTCTCACATCAGAAGCGACTTGCAGTTTCTCAAGTCACTCCTGACATGAAAAAAACTTAATTCTGCTCAACTTGCACTGAAATTACATACACATATGCAAGAACGGGCTTAGGCACGAGAAAAATCATGGTTTTCCTAATGAGAAATGGTTTTATGCTCTCTTCCAATACAACATTCTTTCCCCTTCATTAATCCATAGGTTGCAATATATGACACCCCAGGCCTGTTGTGTAAGCAGACTAAAATCTACAAATAAATATCAGTGAATGTGACTCATTCAAAAGCAGAAGGTAAGTCATTGCTGCAAATTTATAACAGTTTCCCTTTCTTTCCTGACAGCTTAGATGTCTAAATCATTTGCTGCTTAAAACTACTGAGGCTTGGTACCTTATTGCCATACTATTTATATTCTGAGACAAGAGAATATAATTTACCTTATTCCAAGGCAATTAAAATTTTACAACTACAATTACTTATTTCCCCATAGGATTTTGGTAATCATCCTTCTCATATAATGGGCTTAAGGCCCCTGCACACCCAACATGTTCTGCTTACTGCTAGATTCGTCAGGTCTGTAATTAATAATTGTGTTTAATGTTGATAAATAAAATTGTCAGTGCTCCTTCTACTAATTGGTATTCCAGATAACGGTTAATAGGTTTATTTATGCCTTAATAAAAGTCTTGTAATTTAGTTTCCCCTCTGCAAGTCAGGTCTTAATCTGTCATTACTTGTCTTGTGATACTATCAGGGTAAGATGACAACCATGGCGGAGCTTATTTACATGCAGGAGAATTCCAGATCTCCTGTTGCTGCAGAGAATTAAAATAGTGTCCTGAAGTTTAGAGTAGAAAACCTATCAAGGGGCATTTTCAAGGCAATCTATCTCCCCCATACACACACTTGTAGCAAGAGGAACAAAAACAAAGGGGTTCAGGCAAAACAGAAGAGGAATTTGCTTCCCAGAAACCTCTTTCCATGTGCAACCAAAGAACCATCTAACTCAGTGTTTCTCACCCTAGGGGGGTCACGAAGGGGTGTCAGAGGGGTCACCAAAGACCATCAGAAAACACAGCAAATTATTTTGGCCATGGATGTTCTGTGTAGGAAGTTTGGCCCAACTCTATCATTGGTGGGGCTCAAAATACTCTTTGATTGTAGGTGAACTATAAATCCCAGCAACTACAACTTCCAAATGTCAAGGTCTATTTTCCCCAAACTCCACCAGTGTTCACATTTTGGCATATTTAGTATTTGTGCCAAGTTTGCTCCAGATCCATCATTGTTTGAATCCACAGTGCTCTCTGGATGTAGGTGAACTACAACTCCAAAACTCAAGGTCAATGCCCATCAAACCCTTCCAGTATTTTCTGTTGGTCATAGCAATTCTGTGTACCAAGTTTGCTTCAATTCCATCATTGGTGGAGTTCAGAGTTCTCTTTGATTGTAGGTTAACTATAAATCCCAGCATCTACAACTCCCAAATGACAAAATCAATCCCCTCCCCAACTCTACCAGTATTCAAATTTGGGCATATTGGATATTTGTGCCAAATGTAGTCCAGTGAATGAAACTACATCCTGCATATCAGATATTGATATTACAATTTATACAGTAGCCAGATTACAGTTATGAAGTAGCAACAAAAATAATGTTGTTGTTGGGGGTCTCCACAACATGATGAACCTGTATTAAGGGGTCGCAGCATTAGGAAGGTTGAGAACTACTGATCTAGCTAAATTAGTAGGACACAACTGATTCAGTTTGTTTTCTATATAAGCATTTGCTTATATAGAAACCTTGCATGTGGAACAAAGTCTATTGAGAGTTCATGTTGCATTGGCGGAGATCCAAGGGACCGTATTAGGTACACTCCAGAGTTTAGGCATGCTGACTGGGATTTGGTTTATGTTTTGTTTTTAAACTTGACTGCTGTTGAATAAAGGACCCCACATACCATATTACAAACTGGGTTTTGGAAGTCCTCTCCGTTTCAAAAGTGATTTGCTTAGTGCTATGAGAAGACTGCTGTTTCAGCCGCACAAATAAAAAGATCCTTTGGAAACACGGGGATAGCTCCATACAGTTATGCCGGGGCTTTGGCAGCAAAGTGGGATTAATTAGCTAATTAAGCTTGACAATGGGCTTACTTTTTGTTTATAGCGAACTTTCCTTGACGTGGGTTGTAGGCAAAATTTATCAAGTGCCTATGATACCATACAGCAAGAATGAATCAATAGTGCATGATTGTGCCATTTCAATTTAAAATCAGAAGTCTGAACTTTACATACACAAAACAACTTCCAGTCTAGTATGGTACCACTCCTGTTTTTTAAAATTACCAGCGAGATTTGAAAAGAAACAGGCAGGAGAGAAAACATTTCTACAATCAGAAAGCATACACTTTTCTAAAAGCCAAGCATCACCTCTGGTTAATTTTTAATGAATAATGGTTTTGACTAAAGCAAAGAAATGTGTGGGTTAGAATCATTCACAGCTTTGAGAGGTGAAATGAGAATACAATGCAATCCCACAAGGTACTGTATTCTGCTATATCTATAACCAGAGGGAAAAGAATATATACACTTTAAGTATATGGCTGCAACTATCAAGGAATTACAGTAAAAGCACTAAATAATTTATGTCGGGATGAGTATGTGAGAAATGTCTTACACCAATACAGTTACAGTACAAAGAGCAATAAAGTCTTTATTAAACAAATGAAGCGAAAACCAATGAAAAGTGACAAACCTTACTCAGGCTACAAGAGAAAGGTTGTCTGCATTTTGTTTTATTTTTAGTAAAACCATATAAGGAGGAAGAGCTGAACTCCTTATTGATGTTTATGTGTCAAAAGGTTCACCGTGAGCTTTGGAAACTCAACTGAAGTTACAACCGATCACATTGCGGCTGTTCAAATAAACTTAATGCTAAGCTGTATTATAATGTTAAGATGCTACAACCTTTATGTAAGAATAAATTCTATGGCTTGGATCCGAAAAGCTACTTTTGGTGCACCCAATGGACTGCATTTGCCCAATGGGGGACTCTACTTTACATCTTCAAACAGCTGGCTTCAGCACCATTTCAATCTCATTTGAAACTACGGTTTCAAAAATCTGGTCCAACACAGTTGCCAGCTGTTTAAAAAGAAATCCCTGGCATGTAATTAGTTGTTCTGTTCTTTAGATCATGGCTTATTTGCACCATCTATATAAATAAAAATATAATGTTCATTTGTGGGATTAACATAACTCAAAAACCACTGGGCGAATTGACACCAAATTTGGACACAAGACACCTATCAGGCCAATGAGTGACCATCACTCAAAAAACACTGAAAAACACAACGGAAGAGACTTAAAAAGCCAAAAATAAAATACATTACAACTCATGCGCAAAACCACATATGTACTGGGTTGTTGTAGGTTTTTTCGGGCTATATGGCCATGGTCTAGAGGCATTCTCTCCTGACGTTTCGCCTGCATCTATGGCAAGCATCCTCAGAGGTAGTGAGGTATCTCATATATACACATATACACAAATATGTATATGTGTATACACATATATACACATACAAAACACATATACACAGACTGGGCTACAGCAACATGTGGCAGGGCATGGCTAGTAGCTTATAAAAATGAGGTTTTGAAGAAGATAGAACTTCTTAGAGATGTATCCATTTTCAGTTGAGAAGCAAGAGAGCAAAAACAAAAGTTAACACTAGATCGCAGGTGCCTTTTTTTCGTGTCAGGAACGATTTGAGAAACTGCTAGTTGCTTCTGGTGTAAGAATTCGCCGTCTGCAAGGACTTTGTTCAGGACACACCCGGATGTTTGATGTTTTACCATCCTTGTGGGAAGCTTCACTCATCTACCCACATTGAGAGCTGGAGCTGACAGAGGAACTTCAACCCGCTCTCCCCGGATTCGAACCATTTACCTGTCGGTCAGTAGTCCTGCCAGCACAAGGGTTTAACCCATTGCGGCACTTGGGGCTCCATGCAGATGCCTTGATGCCTTGAAAAACAGAACATGTCGATTTATATCAAAAGTCTTATATCAGATATTAAACAAAAGTCTTATATCAGATATGAAACAAGAATCCTTGGCAAAAAGTCTTTGTGAGGCACTCTGAAGACACTGGAGCTGTAAGCAAGGAAACCAGAGCACAGAAGCACTAAGTGGAACAGTTGCTGCCAGCATTGACCACTTGCTTTACTGCTGATTTATAGCCCTCAGCTCCCAGCACAGGTGTTCCTAGGGCAAGGTCTGATTGCTCAGCATCCTTGCAGCAATTCTAGCTGACTTTCTCCTTTCTTCTTTCGCCCTTCAGCATTCCTGAAACGTAGGAGCGGCAGTATATTTTCATCACCTTCTTCTTCCTCCTCAACACTTGGCCCCAAATCTCCAACTCCTACATCTTCAGCCTTCTGTTCTACCTCCTCCGCCTCAGAAGAGGAGTACACAACAGTGACATCAATACTTTGTCTAACATGTAAAGGATACCCAAAACATGTTCAAAAAGGAAAATGTACGACATTACCTGTCTTGCCAACTACTTCCTGTAGCTCCATCATAGAACTAAGGACTGCAGCAAGAAGGTCGTGACTGGTAAACCAATTGAATGCTTGGAGGGATCGGATCTGCTCCTTCTGATGCCCTGCATTACCAGTGAGTACAAAAATACAAATTAAAGTTTTATTTTTAAAAAATGTCAAAAATACTACCCGGGTTTTGAAACCACAGGCAATGTCATAACGTTTTTCAAGGACATTTTGGGTTACATTAATTTGTTTTATAAATGCTGCTTCCATGTGACATTTTTCAGTTCATCACCTTTCACATTGGGGGAGACTGCCATGCTCTCAGAACATTTTCCATATGAAAAGGGGAAGATATTCAGTCCAGTGCTGGCAACCAAACTGAAAACTGTTACAATCATGCAACCAAGATTTGCAATGAATTTCAAATCTAAATTTGAAAAAGCTAGAATTTTGTATTTTAAAAAAATTAAAAGCAAGATCCTGTTACAATTTCTCATTATTTACACTCTAAAGTTCACATTCAACTTGTAAATTATCCTACCTAAACATGCTTCTACATTACATATAAAGCAGTTCTTTATTTATTTGTCGTGTCAGGGCAACCAGTCAATTGTATTACATTTCTAACAGAACAAAACAAACAGACAGACAAAACACAAAATTTGCAAGTTTGGTAGTTGATTAAATGTCCTTTGACCAGTATCTGGCCACTTGGAGTGCTTCTGGTGTTGCCGCAAGGAGGTCCTCCATTGTGCATGTGGTAAGGTTCAGGGTGCATTGCAGCAGGTGGTCTGTGGTTTGCTCTTCTCCACACTCGCATGTCGTGGATTCCACTTTATGGCCCCACTTCTTGAGGTTGGCTCTGTATCTCATGGTGCCAGAGCGCAGTCTGTTCAAGCAGTTGAACAGACAATAAAGTAGTTGAAGCTCAATGAATCCAGTTTGCAGTCACAATGGAGGGAGGATTAAGATTGTAGCTCCAGGAGGAAATGAGCTTTTTAAAGTAGTAGTACTTGTTATTATAATTTCCTCCAGCATCATAAAAGCCATTGATTTTCTCCGAGCAACTAATATTTAGACAGTGGAAAAAAATTCAAGTAAAATCTGAACTAAAGTTGCTGTTTTTCCTAGACTCCCGTTTTTCCTATTGTTATTAGTGACAAAGTTCTTTCAAGCAATATATTTAATTTCTAAAATGCAAACATTTTCATATTTTTAACCAAACAATAAATAAATGAAAACTATTGCATAAATGTGTTGCAACTGGGCTTCATCCCCATGTACATCTACATAGGCTTACTTCCCATGTAAGCCACCCAGTGTCCCTTCGGGGAGATGGCGGCAGGCTACAAAAATAAAGTTATTATATGAAATTTATTATTAGTGGCCACATGATAATTAAGATAATAGTCATCAAGCAGGACCAGCTATGGCTGGAACCTTTTTAAGTTCCATCAAGCTTTATCTGAAATCATTGTACCCAAGACAATGATTTTGTTCAAAAGTTAACAAGACACAATGGGTTGCTGTCTGACTAGACAGTGACACGATAGATTCTCAATATAACAGAGTAATCATATTGTTGCATGGACAAAGATAAAATAATATTATTGTCATTAAGGTGCTGACTACACACAAAAGCCTGCTGCATCATATCAAAATGGAATTTTATTAATCACATCACTTTTAATCAATCAGATGACAGAGGGATGACTCTGACACAAAATTGAAATAGGATTTAGTTTCGTTGTCACAGGACTCATGAAGCAACACAGAACATAAATAGAAAAAAGAAACATGTTTCACTCCCGCTCCCTATTCAATCAAGTTGATTTGTTATTACCATGATGTGGAGTAACATTTGCCATGGTGAATAAATATTAGGATTGCTCTCACAACAACAGTTTGAAGTGGGTTTGGAAACTGTGGATATATCTAGTGTTGACCACATTTAATTGGAATATTGATAAAATGCTACATCATAGTTAAAGCAAACTATTGAACAGGTGAGAATGAATTCCCATTGGGAATGATAGGACATAAGGGACTGCTGTGCACAGTATTACCCCCTACTGGCTGTGCACAATTCAAGCCATACTAAATTCAGTTTGCAATCAGTTCAAATAATGGGGAGGGTTTCCTGTGTGTTTAACACTACCTTTGGGGCTTGGGCTGTTTTAATTAATGCACTAAATTTGGCTTAACAGTTTAAATGGAATTCCTCCCCTCAAATTGTGAAGTATGTGCCCCCTCCCGCCCCCGTTGCTTTGGCATGCTATAATTGTTATTTAAGTACTGAAAGTGCGGTGTGACACAAAACATATAAATCATGCGCTGATTATCTTACTTGACAGGTTAGGTACATCTTTGGAGTCTCCCACGCAGACTAAGATTCCAATGCCTTCTCTGTAGTTGTCAACCCAAGAAAAGAGAGAGCTGTATGACTGGCCCAGCATTTGAAGCCTACGGGCCGCCAGCACAGCAATGACACTTTTGCGGAAAAGATGTATCAAGCCTCTATGATGCCTTTTCTGCTTCGTCTTGCCATCACTTGGCTTTCTTTCCTCAGCCTCAGACAGTGCATTGGCCAGAGTCCTAATCTCCTGCTTAATAAGGTCACAAGTGTTGACCTGATCCTGTAGTAAGTCTCTTTGTGTAGACAAGGCACATGCTCGGCAATACAGGGGATACAATGCACCAGACAAGAGCGCACAGGCAGCCAGGAGTGACCTATGTTCCTTTTGAGTCTGTGCCAATGCGCTTTTAAAGTGTGAATTCTCAAGGAGTAATTGCTCCTGTATTTTTTCAGTAGCAGCAAACTTCTCTTTGGCTTTCTCTGCCATTTCCTGATATTTCTGCAATGGGCGAAGGAAAGAGAGTTTCAATTATGACCAATGAAGAAATAATCAATATATTTGCAATAAATTGACAGAATAATATTTCTAATGAAAGTGTCTCCTCATATTCACTTATGTCTTTACATAATGGTTCCAAGGTCATTGCATCACTCAGTAACTATTTCAATAAAACCAACCTCTGAAAGGAAATACTCAAAACTCTAGGTTCACTAAGGAGCTAATATTACTGAAACCATGTGTGTGCCTTAAAAATCCCGTCCCACATTCATAACAGTAAAAATATACATAGCTGAAAAAGGAGAGACTGTGGTATTTTTTAAACCAGTGGTTCTCAACCTGTGGGTCCCCAGATGTTTTGGTCTTCAACTCCCAGAAATCCTAACAGCTGGTAAACTGGCTGGGATTTCTGGGAGTTGTAGGCCAAAATGCCCGTGGACCCACAGGTTGAGAACCACTGCTTTAAACACTACATAAGGAATGTGGAATATGTTTTTCCATGATTCATCCCATCACATTGCTATCATGCTTAAAGGCCAAACATTATGGCACCAGAATCAGTTATATAAACCCTGACTATCAAATCAGAATCAAGAGAGATCAGTAAGAATGTATGCAGTTGATGCCCCCACATAGTAGGAAGGCTGGAAGAAATCTGGGAATAAACAGAGCGAGTTAGGACAATAGACAAAGGAGACTAGAGAAGGAGATGATGCAGGTGGCACTTAAGGGAAAAAAGGTAAGAAACAGTAGTAAACAACTAGTAAAATGAATAAACCATAGGAATAAGCAAGAGAAAGTTTGGGTGAATGAAATAAGTTGTCTGAGAATTGGGAATCTTAGGGCCAGCTGGAAAAGATGAAACAAACTCGGTAGAAAAAAATATATTTAGGCCTTAAGAAAGACAGCAGTTCATTATACTATAACCATAAACGGTTCTGGCCCAGCTTACCTGTCCAAATGTATATCTCTCCTTATGAACCATCTAGGAACTTAAGATAATCTGGGGAGGCCCTGCTCTCGATCCCATCTTCCTTGTAGGAGCATCTGGCAAGGATGAGAGACAGGGCCTTCTCAGTGGTGGCCCCTCGGCTGTGGAACTCCCTCCCTAGGGATATTAGATTGGCCCCCTCCCTCCTGACCTTCTGAAAAAGAGTAAAAACTTGGCTCTTCGAACAAGTGTTTGGAAATGCAGTGTAATAAATAATTATGAACTATGAAGAATGAGCATGGCTAGACGATGCTACTGGTCAATGAGTTTAGCCTAAAGCACGTAACTATTTTGAAAAGGTGCCAACTAGATGTCTGATCCCAGTTTGGTATCCCTAATCCATCCCACACATGGGAATCAAATAAATGCCCACAACAATCTACGAAAGCATTGGATAATTTCCACTGGAGAGATGCCTACTGCTCGTCTTTTTTCAGATTTTCATCTCAAACTACCTACTGAAGCTCTCACATCACTACTTTAAAGAAAGAGTCCTTACATGAGGTGTGGGCATCAGAATATAAGGGCTGTAGAGTAGTGATAAATCACGTGTGTTGTATTAGGTTCCAAATTCGTTTGTGGGCATTTTCATATAGTGCTGGAAAACATCTAAAGATATCTGAACCTCTAGAGAGGCACCGCCAATAAGTACAGGTAACACTGAACTAGATGGGTAAATAATTTGGCTCAGTACAGGAGCTGGAAAAGTTGACTTTTTAAATACAACTTTTTCAATACAACTCCTGAAATACCTTGGCTGAAGTGTTGTGGAAGTTATATTCAAAAAGAAAGGATTTTCCCAAGCATATGCTCCTCCCTAAGTAATCCAGTAATTCTTTACCATCTTATCTGTATGCAAGGGCATCGTCCATGACTTAAGAAAGAGTAATTATGCTGCTTTTCAAAGAGGACGACAAACGTCTTGGATAAGTTAGTTTAGCAAAAGAGAACAGTAAACTAGGGAAAACCTGGAGAGACAGAAATAGATAGGCAGCAGCTGGGAAGGGGAAAGTAAAGGTGATCTTTTAATTACTTTGTAATCAACCCCCTACTTATATATTCACAGATTAATTATGTCTCAGGCAGAATTGTATTTTCAAGAGAACACTCTTTGTTTTATTTGATCAATCACTTATTGCTGTACTTTTTACATATATAAAAACCTGTTACCCCAACAAGCTGTAAAATAAATGTACAAAGCAGGATGTACTTCAAAGCAGTAAATTATGTTAACTAATGAAGGGATGTATGTTGCAAGCTATAGCAAGACAGAGGACATTGCTTACAGATAGATCTTTAATGAAACATAGAATGGATAACTTCCTTCCAAACTGCAACACAGCTGGCATCCCATAGATCAATGCTTAAACCAATCCATGAATATGAGTGTGGCTGCCACTAGCTATAGAAAAGCTCGTCACCCTGAACTTTTCTAAGCATCCACCAAGTGAAAGAAATGCCCAAGACAGCTGTAACCATGTTTCTCAGTGGTCCTTGCCATTGTGGGTCACGTTATAATCATGGTCACTCTTCCTATTTGAGGCAAGGGCATCAAGGCTGTCTAGAAGCCTCACAAACTGTTTCCCAACCTTTTTGGAAAAAAATATAATAAAGATAGGTGCAGAGAAAGATTAAACTAAAAGTTGCTGTAACAAAATGTTGTTCTAGTTTTAAATTCTCACTCTGCAATCAAAGTGAAAAAACAACAGGCTAGTATACAATGGAGCAGTGGTTCTCAACCTCTGGGTCCCCAGATATTTTGGCCATCAACTGCCAGAAATCCTAACATCTCAATAGAAGTCCACCCTGAAGTGCACACTTTCATTATGAGAAGAATTGTACCTGCTATGTTCTTGCGCAATGGTTCTCAACATGTGAGTCTCCAGGTGTTTTGGCCTACAACTCCCAGAAATCCCAGTCAGTTTACCATCTGCTGGGTTTCTGGGAATTGAAGGCCAAAACATCTGGGGACTCACAGGTTGAGAACCACTCGTCTATTGGAACACAATTTTGAAAAACACAGCTTTTGAGTTAGTTGTACATTTCTTCCTTGAAAGATGGTAGCAAATCCTCTTGCATAATCCAGTTATCCCTCAGTATTCTTTAATTCTGTGTCCATGGATTTAACCATCCAGAGCTTGAAAATGTTCAAAACAGTTTTTTTAAAAAAAGACTTGATTTTCTTTTTTTATATGAAGGGATGCCATTGTGTACAAAGTGACCTGAACAGTCACAGGTTTTGGTATTGATGGGAGGTCCTGGGACCAAACCTCAGCAGATACCAAGGGACCACTGCACAGCCTCTGACTCCTGCTGTTTCATGCCTCCTTCAGATTCTCCCATGTTTTTTGCAGCATGCACAAAAACTGATCGCTATCCCAAAAGTCTCACATCAAATCAGGAAATAAAAGGATATATGAAAGGAATGCCAAGCCTGGCTCAACCTCAGTATATCATCATTTAGACATCCATGAAGATAATGAAAATGACCAGCTGAAGCAGAAACGGATAATAGTTATGAATCAGAAAATGAGATTGTGAAGCACAACTGGTATCAATAAGCCTTGCGGTCCTTTCACTCCTGCCCTCAGATTTCCATTGAGTCCCTTCTGTGTCTTCTTTACACAATAGAGATCAAATTGAAAATACTGTGATAATCATTCTCTTTCACTGTGTTTGTGATTCTTTTTTTTTCCATCGTTACTCCTTGCCTGCTTCTCAGAAATTAGCAAAAAAAGTTTTTTTTACATTTCAGCAACTGTAGTTCCATTTGTAATGAAAATGTAGATCACTTAAGGACAAATCCAGTGAGCAAATTTGTAATTACAGGTATATCACAATTAAAAGTGCATTGTTATTGTTGTTGTTGTTGTTATTTTACTGACACAAAAACACAGTATGTCACAGCAAATGAGAGATATATATACTGGATTTTGTATCACAAAACCACAAGTCGAACACTTCCCAAGCGTCTGGGACTGTGTGATGTATTTTCGAATGATGCGCGCAGATCCAAGTAAGGTGGCCTTTTGCAATTGACAGATCATGATTTTGTCGATGTTTATTGTTTCCAAATGGCGGCTGAGATCTTTTGGCACGGCACCCAGTGCACCAATATTGTAGCATTACTTTCTGAATAACCCTTGTACAATAACATTTTCTGTGTCTAAGGAAAGTGACTTCAGATCTGTAAAGATTTGCCATCTTGAAATTCTTGATTTTTGAAAAAACAAATCTTTCAGAATTTGTGTTAATTTTCTTCTCGTGGTTTCAGATTTCCAGAAATTGTTCCTCACAATAAAAGAACACAAATACATAAAAACATCAGAGTTTGACAAAAGAGAGGTAGATAAACACCAAGACCTTTGCACCCACACTCTGAATCCTTTAGAGAATTCATTCTGTTGCTTTAAATTGTTGTTATACTGTTGTATTTGTTTGTATGTTGCGGCATTGAATTGTTGCCGAGTGTAAGCCGTCCTGAGTCCCCGTCGTCCCCCTCCCGGGGGGGGGGGGGGTTGAGAAGGACGGAGTAGAAATGTTGGAAATAAATAATAAATAAACATTATTTCCCACTATATAGTATATAGAACTTCCACACAGATACTTAGGATTGCAGCACTTTTAGCACCTGGTTTTATAAGACAAAGATAGTTTAGCAGCAAAAAGGATTTTAAACCACAATCTTTTTTTTTTTTTTTGGAAATGTGTGCAAAACATGCAAAGGCACACATTCTATAGTTCTTGGCTCTTAAATGTGGGGAAAAATACAGAAATGAAAGAAAGCAAATAGAAATTCACACAGGTTATCCCTAAAAGCTCAACCGGCAGCTGTTCTTTAAAACAAGAGAACAGGACCATGGCCTGTTTATAAAAAAAGCCGTGGCAATCCTCCTCCCATTGTAATAAAAGCTTTAGAAGATTGCATTTCTTCTCTTCAGCAGTTTTGTAATTGTTTTCTGCCCCAAACCTACGTTGCCTCTAATATTTCCTTAGAACCTTAAAAGCA